TTCTTCACAGCGGCAGCGGCCTTGATACCCCTTTCTAGCTGAAGAGGCAGAACGTACCACCTTTACCCCGGAAAGGCCATGCCCTCATTATCGCATTTATGGATAGATAACTCCGAGAGATTTAGCACTTCTTGATCAGTCAAGTTATTTTTTCTGGGGTCGTTATCAAACTCATTCTTCCAACAGCCCCCATATAGTGTCGAAATCTCGGAATCAAGGGGCAAATCGACTAAGTGAAAGCAGAAATTTGAGCGAGTAAGTATAGGCTGAGTTTCTGTAAAATTAGCAGGTAAATGGTAATTGCCTATCGCAATTAAGAGATTAGGCGGGTTCGATGACCTCTTTAAAAAATGTGTTTACAGCAGTCGATTTCCAAAGGTAAGTAAGCGGTTCACCATAAATACCTTGCCAAGCCGAGATACCTTTGTCTGATTGTGACAAGTGCACTGCCAAAAATGTGAAAATCGTCGAAAGAGGAAAGCCATATCAACATTCAATATACAGGGTGTCCCAAAAGTAAGTACACACTTTTCAATCGTTAATATCTTTCTTCCCATTGTGCCTTTTTCCGATTCAAGCACCATTCTGTAGAGGGCTTCAACTTATATCAACAGTATCAAGCGAATCATCGATTGCACTTCATTACTGTAGGATTACTGTAGGAACATCAACGAAGATCTTAGGTCATTGCAAGCCATATTCTGCCTCGCATCAAAACCAAACAACCCAAAAACTCTTATACTATGGTAATGGAAGCCGCTTATTTCGAATATGAAATATTCACTTTACTGTGTTGCTTCTTTCCAAAGTTATCTCGGGTAAACTGTAACGACTAAAATGGAATGGACGATTCGATGGATGGATAGATGGATGGACGGTACATCATGTACTTGAAAATGACCTGCTACAAGTAATACTTCATAACACTTCGTTATTTTGAACGCAATATATACTACTTATGCTAGTCGCTATGCATGTGTTCGAAGCTCCTGATAATGTGCAAGAAATCCATTCATATTTTTTGAGACCTGATTCATAACACCATTGCCATCCAAATTATTCTATAAGATTCGGATTTATTGCTATTGATTGCTATCGGATGCTATTCGGATACGACTCGAAAGTGAAAGCAAGTTCAAAGTAATTCCTTGCCTTTTTCTCCCACCCCCGTTCCATATTTATTCGTCTGTCTGTATTTCATCTGTGAGGTGGTGCATCGTTTACGATGTATTTGATAAATAAATAAATAAATAAATAAATAAATAAATAAATAAATAAATAAATAACAGAATTCCCAGTATTTGTCAGAAATGTAATCACACCGTCAAAAAAGCCTGAAACACTCGTAAGTTGGTAGGTGGAATCAGCGTGCGCGAAAACCTAGTACACGATTTCTCAGGGTTGGCAGTAATCTGGTCGAAACTCCGAGTTTGAAGCTCCGCGTTAACTCAGACATAACTCTGAGTTCCGTTTTTGAAACTCTGAGTTACGCTTATTGAAACTCTGAGTTCCGCTTTCGTAATTCCGAATTCCAACTCTCAAGCTCGGAGTTTTGCTTTGAGGAGCTGTTAAGCACTTTGCTGCAAAAGCGACGTTAAAGTAGGGACTCGAACCTGTATGGTCTAGCGTAAAGATCCTATCACTAAACCCCTAGACCATGACAGACCATGAACCCTAAAATTGCTTTGCCATAATGTACTCACTCATTTCATTAACACTTAGCAGGTCAAAACAAGTTATATCAAAGCCTCACTCATTTCCACTTCTATCGGGCAGTGATGGTTCATCACAAGGATTGGTCTTTTGCGCAGCTGAAAGCTTTAAACAATAGAGAAAGCGGATGGCATACGCAATGATAAGAATTGACTATTAGGATTTGCGCACAGAATAATTCCTCCGGGCAAAGTTTGCCCTTCCATGATTTCGTCTTACTTACCGTATACCTACCGTAACCTTATATAGGTTACCAGTGTATGTAACAGATAGATTGTCCGTAATCTGCATCCCGAATAACTCCAGTGTACCAAATTTCGGCTAATTCCGCCGCTTTAATTCATCTACCGTAAACCTACCGTAACCCCGTCAGATGACACTGCAGTATAATCTGCATGTCATATTCGTTATCGGCGCCCCGAATAACCCCACTGTACCAAGTTTCGATCAGTTTCGTGGATTTCTCCTATCTACCGTAAACCTACCGTAACCTCGTCAGATGACACCACAGTATAATCTGCATGTCATATTCGTTATCGGCGCCCCGAATAACCCCAGTGTACCAAGTTTCGATCAGTTTCGTGATTTTCTCCCATCTACCGTAAACCTACCGTAACACCTCTACATGACCCCATAGTGAAAAATAAGTACCATAAGCGTGACCAGCGCACCGAATAACCCCCTGGGCCAAGTTTTTACAAAATTTCAAAATTTTGTAAAAACTTGGCCCAGGGGCCATGCCTGCTTAAACTAGGAGCAAAGTGTACCCCGGAGGACTTTTTAGCTGCCCCTCTTCTTTTGCGCACTATTTCTCTTTCTCTGACCAAACTCAGAGTTATCTCTGGACGATAGACTGGAACACGCATCAAACTCAGAGTTATCGCAGACACTAGTTGCGCGTTTGGTGGCGCTGTTTCTTGTGCAGGACGATTTGGACAATGTTGCGCTACTAGGAATAAACTACGTGTTAAGGAGAATCCTGCCATATCATCACTTTCCGGATTTGATCTGTTCAAACACCTGTTAAAGGGGTCAAAAAGTTGCGCGTTAGCTCAGAGATAACTCAGAGTTAACTCTGAGTTATAACTCTGAGTTTCGATAGGTTTACTACCGACCCAGATTTTTTGGAAAAAATTGTCAGATTGGTTATTTTACAATAGTTCCACTTGCTGGATGTTCTTACGTAATCCTACGTAGTGATGAGCGATCGCTGATTCGCTCCTTACTGTAAATCTAAGTTGAAGTCTCCTCTATGGAATGGTATTGAATAACGGAAAAAGACCCAATGGGAAAAGAGATATTAACGATTGAAAAGTGTGTACTTACTTTTACGACACCCTGTATATACACTAGTAAGAGAAAGAGACAAAAGTTACGCTTTTTCAGTTTCACCTCATCATGTGGGCTGTCTCGAAACTGATACGAGTTTATATTATTTTTTACGATACAGGCCTGATAAAAACCGCAGGTAATTTTTTTCAGAACTCTTCTCTGCTTTGTTTATTTTTTCTCTTGTGAAGATCACATGCGGTCTCCCTCCACACTATGGTCTCAATATGTGTGATTGCGTTGATATCGCATTATTTGAACTTAAAGCGAGAGTCTACCTTTAACAACTTTCTCCTTTGTGGTGTAGATTTGTAAGGAACTATGATTTTTACAAGCGGATGCACTTGCAATACTAAATGCTAAGTGAGTGCGCTAGGTCTAGAAAGAAAACAGGAGAAGAGAAGTTCAACATAGACAAAAAAAAACAACCCGAATCACATTAAGATATCTTGAGCAAAAGCAGAGTTGTTCTAGCGGTCCATAAGAGCACCTCTTTTGAAATTGAACATGTATTTAAATGGACGCACATTACAATAGGCACCCTTATAAATCTCGAAACAAAATTAGAAGCCAAAATTCATTTCCCTCGTTCTGGGAAGCAAGACAAAATGAACAACTGACGAACTTTGAAATCGAATAACGATCCTATGATTGGACTTCAAAGCAGTGACGGATGCGGTTAAAGCTCAAACGTTTAACTTGCATCTGAACTCCGAACATTGACCTGATTAAAAGATTGCGTTTTTGATCTAGGTTTCCCACTTCAATTTCATATTTTTCCAAGGCGATTGAACAGAGCAAAGATTGAGTTTGTAGTTTCATCCAGAAAAAATATCTTCGCGAATTGGCTTGGACGAGTTTAGTAGAAAGGGCATATTTTGAAAATGTCTGAATTTTGTTTTTTGAAAATACATGTGACAAAAAGGATGACATGATCGCTTGCTAGAGAGGCATGTTCATTTGCACTCAAATCTCAAATCTTTATTTAGCGTCAGTAGATCGACTGTTGTTCTTCCTTTTATTTGCACGATTCTCAATGATATGTGCGGTTATGACTGTCATACCATCCGTGATAGCTGAAAGAACATTCGCATCGCGTTATGTCTACGATTATGAAAGTGCTGCTCGGCCCTGGATCTCGTATCTAATTAACGGAAGTTCCCTATCTTTGGCTACTTGTTACTACATACTGATTATGCTTGGTAAGCATTTCATTGCTCATCTCATTCCTGTAAATACACCATGTGACGCCATATCAGCAAATTAGATTTGAAGATAGTCATGATATTTTTTCACCTATATAGAGTTTTTGCCGTTTTTGAAGAAACAGATGTGCCGAAGATTTGTTCCTGTTGATGGATTTCTGCGAAGGATAAAATTTTGACAAAGTCTAGTCAAATCATGACTTTGGAAAATAAGAGACTTGCACCGTCCCAATACATTCACATGTAATACATCCAACGTTCACACAAAGTCCTTCAAACTGCAAGCGGTTGATGTTGGCAAAACCTGCACGCCCTTCAAGTAACATCGCAAAAAAAATTGAGTAGAATACTTGTTGTTAGAAGCTGTGAGAGACTTAAGACAGGCTCCGACTTCGCTAGTTTACTAACAATGATTTACCTAAACACACTTTAGGACTGTACTCCGTACTTGCACTTGTGCTGATAAGTATGTTAATCACTGTGCTTTCTTCATTCTCTATCATATTGGTTTTCCGGCGTGACGCAGGAAAACTTCGCGATCTTTCTAATGTGACTGGTTATTCTAAGTTGAACTACACGTTGAGTATGAAGTTTCAGCTGGCGGAGAATGTTCGTGTGACGAAGGTAGTGAATAAATACAACTCCTTGTATCAAATAGCAATGCCTAAAAAGCAGGCGATGCTTTTGTGAAGGCGCATCGTCCTCGTTTTATTGCTCGCAATGCCACAGCAATGTCAACTTTTCATGCTATTGTTCTGGTGTAAGTCTCCGATTTCCAGATGCTGACTTACGCATCGATTGGTTTGTCTCTTTGGACTATCTGTAGCTGCCTCTTATTCGGAACTGCTTTCCTAGTGTTTGGCGAAGAGCAACCTCTGGGCCAATTTAGCTATGCTGTTTGGAACGTCTACCTGGCAGTGTGGGTTCTTTTGCAAAATACATGTTTTGAACATTAGGAACCTTAGTGAAATTGTGCTGTTGCTCTAGCGTATCCAGCGCTTTTGTGATTTTGGATAGGTGCTTTAGGTCTTTCGCTGCTGTTGTTTGGTCGTCCTTAGCAGCAATCGGAGAGTTACAACGCTTACTGCAGTGCTCCTTAGGAAATATGTGCTCCCGAGGTCAACCTGCTACAATCCAAAGAATGTCTGCTAAAGTTCACGATCTTCACTGCACCACGGAGAGATACTTCAATCAGCTAGAGTCAGCATGGGGGCAACATGCTAAGTTCTAGCAGATCATAATGTTGCTTCACTCACCGCGTCTTTTGGATTCTGCTGAAACACATTTATGCATATAAGTACGTTAAGACTATTTCTCGCTTACCTTTTACTCCAAAAATAGACTGATCTTAATCACTTATTTTTGAAGACGGTAACGCTGTTTGTGGAGAGACTTGATGATCACTAATGGGTAGAAACTGTACGAAGAATACATGTTATTTTATCGCACTTCGACCGCATCACTTGTCCTTACATGTTGAAGAGAGACTGTTAATTAAAAATTGATTAATCTTCTGTTGACACATTCTATTCACATTCTAATATTATAGCAAGAACAAAAAGACTGAGAAATGCACCACTTATGCGATTTAATCTGCTGATCAGCAGAATTCTATCTCAATCTTTTTCTAAGAAACAGTATAGCAGATTTGTAGCAGTGGCGTTTGTGCGGTCAAAAAATTTTTTATGTAAAGAATATGGTTATGAAACTTCTTTGGTGGTGACCTGCACATTTTGAATTCTATCTGATCGTATCTGTTATGCTGCAAATTTGCTGTCGTGGAGTGTGGTCACAGCTGATCAACAGATGTGTAGGCGCAGTCAAGTGCACTTGTTGAGTGTGCAGGATCCCATAGCAACTAAACAACTTAACCGCCAGCATGCCGCCATTTTCTCTATTTTTTCTTTGTTTTGTGCTTATGTTATAATGCTTTGCTCAATTAAAACATCTTTCACTACTGTTTTCAACTCATTGTTCTGGAAAGACGTACGAGTTCGCAATTTACATTGAGTTGTGAACGACTACGTGTACAACTGCGCATTTATTAGTTCGAAAAGCGCACAATGTGTACAGTACGCAACTATACTCTACCTAGCGGGTGTAAGTGCTGCGTTCTAACATCTATCATAATCAAAGGTCAGCCTGTGCAATCTCGCTCACGTGTGCAGGTGCATTCTGAGGCTAACCTTCGATTACTCAGCTTCTTCGCATACAATCTTGCAACTAATTTACTATGTTAATAAGCAAGTGCACGGCTTGGACCCATTAGAAGAGTTTCCCATTGTAACTCTTTCATACTGCTTGAGTATTCCTATTAGCATTTTATTGCATAATGGCTCAAGGCTTCTCAAAGATGTATCAACAAATAAATGGATAAAATAATGTTGCTCGCCGAGCCTTTGTCTACAATGCTATATGAAGTAGTTGTGAGAGATTTAGAAAAGGCAAAACAACAAAAGTTGTTCTTAGCCTGATATCAAAGGAAAAGTTATCCTCAAAAATTTGCGAACTCAAAAAATTGTTTCACGTATCTTCATGTGATGATTTGAGTTGAGCACTAGAACTCAGCTACAATTATCGTGTCCCATTATAGCAACAATAGCGGGGGGTTGGGGCGCTCACTGTATTAGCGTTACTGTAGAAGTTGATATAACGTTTTTCATAAGCTTTCTATAGCATGATGTTTCTAAACTGCGTATGGTCACCACTTACGGAGCTGGAACTATTGAAGGTCTCTAGCAGATATGAGCTTGAAACAGTTGTTTCCGTAGCACCCAATCCCCCTCCTTCGGGGATATCTGCAAGAAGTACAGGATTGAGCACGTTTGGACGCCGCCACTCTACCCGCAGTAACATGGGCTCGCTGAACGCCATCGGATTTTATGAGAGAGAACCGCTAAAGCTGCAAGAAGGAAGCCTTTTAGAAGCTTTGTCGAAGCCACTGCTTTACCGTCGTTTTTGCCTGATAATCGTTTGCCGGCCGAGATATTTCCTGGACAAACAATTAACATTCTCGCATTTGGTCACTGATGCTAGGACCTCTACCAACATGTCGCGTTAAAACAACATTTCACGCAAAGCGCTCCAACGGTCACCAAAAATATGCTTACCTAACCTTACGAGAGGTTACCGTAAGTTGATGTGATCTCAATTCCGCGGTTTAGATCACTCTAGGGTGTTTTCGTTCTATTGTTAGCTTTGAGAAATTCCAATCCATAAAGAGTTATAATAGTTTTGAATGTGTCCGGTTCTGAAATACACTGCAAGTGCTGTCTACTCGAACTGATGGTATGAGAACTTCGTTTTTAGCAGTGCCATGAGATGATAGTCGTTATGTTTCTTTCCCGAAGCCAGACAATGTTCTGAGACCAAGAGGATGACTGAAGGCAGATCTGTGTATCTACCACACAATTGCAACCTAAAATTACGAAAATATTTCTTTGCGATGAGCAAGTTTTGGTGACGATCAGGTACTATGATAACACATAAAAGCAACAGTAACTTGTGTCTTGCTTTGCAAAATTTTATGAAGTCCTCTCTGAACTTTTCAGAACCTCATCACTACTTCCTGCTTTTTCTTCTTGTACCTGGGCTACCTTTCAAGCTTACAGGTTGCGCCACAATTATTTGCGCGTGTATCATCAAGCGCCATACAAACATAAGACCGGCTCAGCCAGCAGTCAAGCTTGATATTGTTTTTTTGGTTCTACAACAGTGTATCCTAGTTGAAGGAAGTAAAATTGCCTGTTTTGCTTTTCGGTAAAAATTCATAATATTTCTCTGACTTTGTCGCGTGCTGCACGAGGGTAGAGACCCACAAAATTGCCCAGTATGTATCTTTTTAGTGATCGCTTCTTTCAGGTGAAGGTTTCGCCATAAAATAGATCTAATCTTTGACTTTAAGATCACTGAGGTTCGGAATCTTTAGGAGCATTCAAAACAAAAATTCAGACTATTTAATAATTTGCGTCAGCTTGCGTTTTTTCTGCCACGAACATTGCTTTTTGCAATCCTTCTTGATAGTGCTTTTTGTAGAGTATGCTTACGGAATTCTATGACATTAAATCCAGACCAAACTTCTCATTGCCGTTGTTGTGGCATTACTTTGAACATTTTGGCGCACCCTGTAGAACGAGCTTGAAGAAAATTCCCTCTTTTGCCATTCATCCACCTTTCCATTGCATCAAAACAAGTAAGCCCCTGAAACCAGCAATTAGAAATCAAAATTGCGGAAAATTGAAAGAGAGAGACAAGCATTATGAGCGAATTAAAATGATAATTAATATGATATATATATAATATATATAATAACATATAATATAATAACAACAATATGATATATATATATATAATTAATAAGATCATATGATGCTCACCTAATAGCAAGCCGCGGAATTGTTCTCACCGTGATGTCGTGTGCTACACTAGCAAAATCAAGGGACATTATGCCAACAGTTGCCCTTCAAGGGACAGACCAGACCGCCTTTTCCTAAAGAAAGTTGTGAAACCGTATGGTCTCTATCTTTACGTGAATGTCAAGCTGAAGGATTTGGATGTGAAAATGCAAATCGACGACAAGCCGCAGGACTGGGTGGAATTAGAATCGTCAACGGTGAAAGTCCCGCCAGCTGATTTAAGAGCTAACGCATAGCTGTTACAAGTATTTAAATTTTGTGAGATACAATTTACATGCAATGATTTCATGGCAGAAGATTCATTACATCACCACCTGTGTTTGCTGGGAACGAACATGCTTCAATAGCTGCCGCGCTTCCGCGATGCATGCTACGCTAATAGTTGATGCCGTAGATGCCTCTTCGCCTTTGGACCATAGTCTCGCGTCTGATTCAAATTTCTTGAAAGCGGAGTTAAAACGTCAATAATCTCAAGGCTCACCTTGTGCTAAGTCTCGTCTATGCCGCGAAGGAGAAGGTGCGCTTTGCCACAGAACCTCTCGTCAACGCAGTGTTGCAACACCTTGACGCTAATGGAGTGATATCACACGTCGATTACTCACAGCGGGCAGATCCCAAAGCTTCCTTCAAGAAGAACAATGGAGCAGTGCGCATATGTGCTGACTTGTACACCAAACTGAACGTCATTGGAGCTAAATTGATACCCACTTACCATCCCCGGAGTTAAAGGGTAAAGGGCTTTTTGGTCTATCGACGAAGTCGAACCTCGGTCCCTTCGCCATAATGACGCCTCATACCACTATAACGCTCGTTACTCGAGCACTTTAGTAGGCTTTGACATATTACTTATAGCACTTCCAAGTGCGTTCGTCGAAGCGAAACGACTGTGCTTTGAACGCATATAGCATGGTTAATGATGAAACCATCTCATGCAGCCATTCAAATATTCACTGAAACACCTTCTGCATTCTCAGGTAGCCAGACAATGTTTTGAGACTAAAATGACTAAACGCAGGTCTGTGTATATACCACACAATTAACACAACCTAAGATTACGAAAATATTTAGTTTTAGATGAGCAAGTGTTTGTGACGACGAGGTACACAAACTTTTGATAATAGATTGAAGTAACAATAATTTGCGTCTTGCTTGCGAAATCTTACGAAGCCCTCCATAGAAATTTCAGAGCCCACTATTCCCTGCTTGTTATCTTGTATCCGGCCCGCTCGATTTAGAAGAAACACTAAAAAAACCCTCTTTTACTCCATTTCCAATACAACGAATCAATTGAGTCTTCGAAACAAAAAATTTATTTGCAGAAGATTGAAAGAGAAAAGAGGAAGGGAACAAGTGGCGTAGTGGTATGAGGGATCGCCATGACCAGATTGGACCTAGGTTCTATTCAGCCCATGAGCCGCCCGACACCTCTACCCTCCGCGGCAGGTGTTTGTGATTCCACAACTATCAACAATCTCTTAAAACTGTTTAGTGATTCTCTTTAGATGCATTTCAAAGCTATACATATTGGAAACTTAAGTAGACTGGTCTTTGTTTCGAAAATGAACCGCAGCACATATGAACTGTTCCTCAATGTAGTGAAAGTAACTAGCAGATCCTACGAACATGCCTAACAACTACTCACTCGCCTACGCCCACCTGTGTAACATGCTGAAGACTTTGCAACGAAATCCCTCATATTTGAACCGATATCATGCGCTGGGAGCAGTTAGGCTGCGTTCATACTGATCTGGAAGTTCGGGAACAGTTTCAACACAGCCCTCGAATTAAGCATTGTGCTGGAACTATTCCTGGACTTCGGGATCAGTATGAACGCAGCCTTAGAACGAAACATAATCGGACTGATACCAACTGAAGGATTTCACAAGTAGTCATACTACTTATC